TATTTATTTTTTATTTAGAAGAATGGAATGTATTATTGATGGAAAATTGTTTCTCTCTTCAATTTATCATTTTTGATTTAATGTTTTATTTTTGATTTATTATTTTGCAATTTTTTTTTTTTTGCTTTAGTTATTTTTATAATTTAAATGGAAAATTAAGACTAAGATTGGTAAAAAAAAAAAAAATTACAATCTTTACATATCATTCTTTTTCTCTCTATCTCTCTCTCTCTCTCTCTTTCTTTTTTAAGGCATTCAAATTCCGAAGCTTTTCATTTAAATGAGCACCACGAGATGGAACAAAAAATGATTGTAGCACCATCGTCACCAATGGCTATGCATTATGAACATCTGGCATATCGTGCCACTGCACCATTAGCACGCACTCGAAGTGCATTGCAAATTTCCTTACAGTCATCTATGCCACCATCAACCACATATACCATATCATCATTATCATCACCACTATCATCACCATCATCATCATCATCATCATCATCATCAGCAACAGCAACAGCAGTAGCATCAAATGTTGAAAGTTCAAATGTTCAGGAATCTGAAAAATTGATTGCAAAAATGTGCAATGAAATACAAAGACGAATTCCATTCAAAAAAACTATGGTAAGACTGTTGTAAAAAAATAACGAAATTTTTAATTATTCATTTAAATCATTTTCTTTAATGATAATATTTGTTTGAAGTTAGATTGAAATATTTAAATGTAAGTAATAATATTTGTTATAATTAAGTGAAAAAAAAAAGAATTTTATTTTGAAATTTTTTTTTTGAAGATTTAAAATTTCAGGTAAATTACAATAAAATATCACATAATGCTAAAATAACAAATGATAATGATGGATCGAAATCAAATCATGTATGTTTAGCATCAGCAATACAAACTAATTGCTTACCTTTGCAACGTTCCACAAATTCTTCTTCCATTATTAATTCATCCTTCAAAGAAAGAATGAAGGTATTTGAAATGTTACCATCAATTTATAAAGCTTAACTGTATAAGTTATACTTTACATTTTAACGCATTGTAGCATATTTTAAGATAGCGATTTTTCAGTAACCATTAAATCATTTCAAAAATGAATTTTTATTGGAAAAAAAATGCTTCTCGTGAAAATGGGAATTTTCATCGACTAGCGAGAACGAATTTAATGAGAAAAAAAAATGCTTTTTTTTTTGAAATATATTCTTGTAAAAGACAAGGATAAGAATTAAAAATCAAAATTTCAATTTTTATTGCTAATGATTTATTACAATTTAATCCTCTCATATACGGTTTTGTTTGTTATTTTTTTTCCTACGTTTTTAAATCATCAATTGTAGTAAATTTTTTTGTCTCAAAATAAAAATTGTTTAAATTGCTAACATAAATTTGATAGATGAAAAAGTGGGAAATTTGTTATAAAACTTTATAGTTTTAAGATAGTTCTGATAGGAATTTTCTAATCTGATTACGAAGGCAGACGAAAAATATGCTTTTACGGGCATATACGTAAAGTTAACGTAATATGAAAAAAGAAACGTTAAAAAGTGTAAATTAAGAAAAATAATAAATGAGAATTATCGGATGAAATAGTTTATTTGTTGACTGAAAAAACGTGAAAAAAAATTTTTTTTTTTAAAAAAAATTGGAATTTTTTTATAAATGTTTGCATCTATTTCAGGGAAATATAAGGAATGATTATGATAATGAACAGTTTAAATATTATTCAAGCCAAAGCAGAAATTCTGGTAAGCACAGAAAAAACATTCTTAGAAAACTTTGGAAAAAAAAAATAATTTTACAAATTTATTTGCTATCTTTGCTTCAAGCATTATTCAATATTCCATTTTTATGCACTTTATTTGTCACTTTTTTTTTCTAAACTTGATTGATTTTTTTTTAAATTAAGGCTTAAAGATATTAGTACTCTTTTCATGTAAATTTCCTTTCAGATACAACCGGCATTTTTACATGTCCGGAAAAATGCTTTAAACGACGTGTCACACGACAAGCTTCATTCTTGGCAGCCGTTTCAGCGGGTAATTCTCATCGCGGTAACAATAATTTTTTCTCATCTCTCAAATTTATATTCCAAAATCTAATAAATCCTATCCTAACCACTTATACATTCATTTATCCATTTATTGTCTAATTTGATAATTAAATAGGTTAGGCCTAAAGCCATCTGTTATTTCCTTACTCCTCTTTATGATCAGTTGAATTAATCGATTTAATAGAACGCCATTTTAAGAGGAAAAAAAAAAGTTCATACCTCCCTGAATCAATCAATAAATAACCTTTACCTGTTCAATTTTTATTGTAACTTTATTGTTGTAGAAATTTAAAAGATTGATAATTTTAGTCAAATTTAATTAAAATAATTATCACATATGTCATCTTCCGTTTACTTTTTATAAATATTTTAAAGTTACCCTCATTACTCATACATATTTAATTTAATAAAATTTTAGTAAATAGTTGATTTTTTTTCACACTTGATTTTCTAATTGAAAAAAATTTCTGTAAATTTTTAATTATACAATAATTTTTGTTAACATTTCTGAAACAATCTTTTTTTTTTTTTTTTTTCAGAAATACGATCTGCTTCCACTCATGATTTACGATCGAGTTTGAATCATTCATGGCATGATGCTGCTGGTAGTACCACTCATTTAACTTCATATTACGCTAATGCATCAAGGTCAAATGAGTCATCTTCAACTGCCATGCAATCATTTTTCGTACATACCTCGGATAGCAATAAAATCAAAAATTATGCAAATCTTTCACAACATTCAGCTTATTATGTGAGTAATTCAGGAAATGATTCATTATTATTTTCATTTGTTCACTTCAAAAAAAAAAAAAACGTAGCCGTTTTTTGTTTGCTAAAGTTAGTAGTAAAATAGATGATGACCTTTTTAAGTTGTATTAATTGTATCGCTTTAATTTGTTCAAATGTAAATTTGAGTAAAAAAAAAAAAAAAGAGGTCGTTTGCTTTACAATTTTTGTCCTTTTCAAATTTTTATACATTTAAATAGCATTTTTTTTCCCAGTTTGCAAATTTAAATAGCACCTGATAAGTCAGATGTTTTAAATCGATATCAAATAATAAATGAATAATAATGTTAACATTTGCTTTTTGCTCTTTAAAATTTCATTTTTGATTGTTTTTATCTTTTCTGTCTGGAAAAAAAAAGATGTATGCATCACGACTGTTTCACAAATTTTTTTTTCATTTCAGATTGCTTCGGAAAATAAATTCCTGAATGATAATCGTTGTAATAATTTCATTGATCAGGAACGGCAAATTATTAAGAAAAATTTAAATATTCCACAAAATTCACATTCGAATACTGCAAATATGTGGCGGCGACAACATTCGAGCAATAATGAAAATTCAGCATTAACGAAGCCGAGTAAAACTTTGATAAATTTACCGCTTTCGAGTGGCAACTCTTTTAAAATTAATCCCGTAGGAAGAGATGACTATAGTTGTGGCACAAAAGTTCCAACAAAAAAACGATTTCCTCTTACTGATGAACACTTAAATTGTTTACATGCTTGGTTTACTTTTTTAATTTAAAAAAAAAAAATTTTTTTTTCGTTTCTTTACAAATTTATTTAAATATTTGGAAGAGCTTATCTCCTTTTTCCTTTTTATCATTGATAAATTTCGTATTTTTTTCGACATTTTCAATTTTTCATCTTTTCTTCTTTTGAAGGATAATACATTATCGGCTACTTTTTT